AATAATATATATATATATATATATATATATATATATATATATATAAATGTATTGTACAAAAAATTAAATGTTGCATTATAGTAATCCAACAGGCTGATTGCAACCCAGTAGTTTGTTCTTTGGCCCTATTACCACAAAAAACAACAACATTAGTTCTCTGCACTTTAGGGCCGTGGGTGTGCTATAATAGCGATGGTCAAATCCTATTATTTGATTGCAGTAGCCCACCAGTTGGTGGTAAGCGGTGTTGACTAGCTGCCGCCACTCTAGTCTGTCACTTCAAAATTAGGGACAGCTAGTGCAGATAGACCTCCATTAGCTTTAAGAGAAATCAACAAACAAATGGCATAGTAAATGAAGAGGTGAAAGCCATTTTGAATATTTTAGATCTTTCTTATGTTTTGATTTCATTGTTTTTAGGTTTTGGTTTTGCTTTATTGTTACTCCTCTCTTTTTATTGAACTTTTTTTTTCGTGCAATCTCGACTAAACTTGTCCTTTCATGATTCCTTTGTTTTTTGTTGTGTTGTGGCATTAAGATTTTAATTACACATGAATATGTATTTTTTCACAACATCAGTGTTTTTTTTTTGGGGGGGGAGGATTAAATTGGCCAATATCAATGTATTTTTTATGTGTGTGTTTGATTATGTCTCAGGAAAAACTTAGAACTTTTTTGGGGGGCAATTGTACTTTTTTCGGGGGGTTAATTGGCCAATATCAGTGTATTTTTTATGTGTGTTTGATTATGTCTCAGGAAAAACTTAAAACTTTTTCTTGGGGGGGAAATTGTACTTTTTTTCGAGGGAGGGTTAAATTGGCCAATATCAGTGTATTTTTATGTGTGTTTGATTATGTCTCAGGAAAAACTTAAAACTTTTTTGGGGGGGGGGGAATTGTACTTTTTTCTGGGGGAGGGTTAAATTGGCTAATAGCGGTGTATTTTTTATGTGTGTTTGATTATGTCTTGGGAAAAAGAATCTTGTATCACCTCACAAAAAAATTCCAAACATTCTGTTAAGTTCAAAACAATTAAATTTTGAAATTAAAGATAGGATCAATATATGAAATGCACAATAAAAATGTTATTTGGCTGATGACCAAAAATGATGATGATGGGGGATAGCATAAAGCTGCCAAAACATATAGTGTCTTTTAATTTTGGTTGTCATGGAAATGAAATTTTTAGCATGCGTTTTATACAATCCTATTTTCAATTACAAAATTGTTGCACTAGTTATTTTGATTAAATTTTCAATGAGTTTTATTTCTAAGTTAGCTATTTGTGTGTAGCAAACGATTTGGTTTTAGCTTTACTTGATTTGTAATTCAACTTGAAAGAATATCCTTCATGTTCAGGGAAAATTAAATTATGTTTTTTTTCTGCCTTACTTAAAGCTTCCTCTGATAGGTCAAAGATGTTAACGATCTAAACATATTTATCTCTCATTTTTTAGGTTGTACTTCGAAGCTGGCTAGCTGATCGCAGTGCCCACTGGGCATATAGGCTCTTAGGAACGGTTACTTTACTCCAACTGGTTCTTTCGCTTATACTTCAATATTACACATCATCAGTTTTCAGAAAGTATACTCATTCAGTTAATTCCCACGAAAACGATCCAAGGTAAGTAAATTTCAGTTTGTTGTTAAAGCAGAGTAGCAGTCAGATAAAACAAAATTATCGAACATGTTTAATTCTTACAGTTAAAGTGACTATTTGTGTAACTTCAACAATTTTTGTTTTATTAACTGATTACTGGATATGTCCTTGTATTAATAATATTTTCTGAAATGAGCATGGCTAATTAAATACAGCGTTTAATCTATATTACTGTAAATTTAGTAATATCTCGCAAGGTTCGGTCAACCGAGACGACTTGGGTTAGCCCTAAATCCATCTGCTAAGCTAACATTGCAAAATAATCGTTATAATAAAATAATAAACATAAAAATAATATTAGAAGTAATAAAAACTAGCAAATAAAAGTAGGTATGTTCTGACCTACACTGTATGTGGTAAAAATATCATTTGCTTACGCTGAATTCCAAGTAACAATTTATTACCACACTGTGGTAAAGGTAAACTTGATTCAATCAGTTTAGTTTTTAGTGTTTAACTTCCATCATGTAGTTACTTAATATTACATAAACTGATAATGAAAATTAATGAATTACTAATTGGCTCATGTAAGTCTAACTCTAGTAAAATAATATTAAGCACTTTAATAATGGTTTATTTGAAATGCTTAACTTAAGCTTTTACGTGCCATTGAATCCCTGGTTTGTTTAACTTTCTTGCTATTAAGTTGCTCATAATCATCAAAGAGGCCTTTTATTTCTTTGTTTTGTTGCATCATTTAGGGCTAACAATGGGTCATTGAATTTTGGCCTATCTAGGCTATCCTATTTTCTACTACTGCTCTTCTTCAGCTATATATGTAGAAAATACCTTGTCTTGTATTCAGCCTTTATCTTTAAATTGAATAGAGTTGTTTAAACATCTGTTTAACAACAAGTAAGAGCTTG